TATTTGTACTACCTTCGAATAAACGTATTGTAGTGTCTGCAAACTCTGATAGGCAACCAATTGGTGAAGAGTCTCAACTGTTGGTTGGATTTCTAGGTATGATTGCTCGTAATGAAATGAAATTGCCTGTTCATTATGAAACATGCCATAAAGTTCCAGCAAAACTTAAGTCTGATATTTAAACTTTATTAAGGTATTAGTATAATTAATTACATATAAAAAAATTAATTATTTTAAATTTGATTTATTGATTAAAACGTTTCTTTTTATATTATTATAATCAAGATTTGTACTTGAAATACCAACTTCATTTATGCTTAAGTCATTGGGAAAGAAATAGAAAGACTATAAGCATAATTTGAATAAAAACTATTTCGATCGAAATACTACTGTAGAGGCCATAATGAAAAATCTACCCCGTAATGTGATTAGGTGACAATATGAACAATTAGTTAGATTTTGATTCTCAAGAAAATGAGAGGTATTTATATCTTTAATATTAGTTTTAATAATAAAAGTGTTTTATGATTTAAGTTGGTAATATTTGTATTTCTACCATATATGCAATTATTTTTTATGACAAAAAAGAAAACATATTGGGATTGGTAGAAGAAAGCAACAAAAATATAGCCATACAAGTGAATAAAAAAGTTTTGCAATAAAGCAAAAAGAAATAGTAAGTTTATGATATTAAACTTATCCGAATGAATGAACTTGATTTCCCTTGTTGATATATGTGTCGTAATTCGCAATTTATGTCTGTTTACAACTTTTTATGCTGTTAAAAGATAAAAATGCAAATTAACAATTATTGTTCTATTTTAATAGTTTTGATAGTTTCAATACATGATATTTAACCTATCCAAATTATTGAACTTAGTTTCCAAGGTTGATATGTATGAAAAAGTTATTGTTTATGTCTATTTAGGACTTTTATACCGTTAATAGGTAAAAATACAATTTTGTTGTTATTATTTTATTTTAACAGTTTGCATAGCTTCAATACATGATATTAAACTTGTTGGAATAATTGAACTTGGTATCCACAGTTGATATGTATGAAAAAGCTAATGTTTACATATGTTTAGGACTTTTTATGCCGTTAAAAGGTAAAATGCAAATTTGATAAACTTATCTGAATGATTCTATGATTGATATGTGTGTGAAAAAGTTATCGTTTACGTTTATTTAGGACTATTTTATCATTTAAAGGCAAAAATACAAACTTGCTATTCTTATTCTATTTTAACAGTTTGCATGGCTTCAATATATGATATTAAATTTTTTCAAATGATTAAACTTGGTTTTCACAGTTGATATATGTGAAAAAGTTATTGTTTACCTTTGTTTAGGATTTTTCATGCTGTTAAAAGGCAAAAATACAATTTTACTATTATTGTTTTGTTTTTATAGTTTGGATAGCTTCAAAACATGATATTAAACTTTTTTGAATGATTGAACTTAGTTTTCACAGTTGATATATGTGAAAAAGTTGTTGTTTACCTCTGTATAGGACTATTTTTATCGTTAAAAGGCAAAAATACAAAGTTGTTGTTATTGTTTTATTTTAACAATTTGGATGGCTTCAATACATGATATTAAATTTGTCCAAATGATTGAATTTGGTTTCCATGATTAATATGTGTGAAAGGCCAAAATGCTTTTATTGTTTACGTTTGTTTAAAACTATTATGTTGTTAAAAGGCAAAAATATAATTTTACAGGTATATTTCTATTTTAATAATTTAGATAGATTAAATACATGATATCAAATTTATTCGAATTTTTGAACTTAATTGACAGGCTTAATATGCATGAATAAGTTACGATTGATATGTATTTAACAATAACATATGTTTTTATATAGGAGATGGAAATCGGTGAAAAAATTGAACGTGTGAATCTTTTTCGATTATCTTACAAAAAAAAAAGATGGATCTTACCTGAATGTCGAAAGATAAGAAATTGTGGTAATTTGTTACATTTGTTTTATATAGAAAGTAAATATTTACTATTTTAAATATATTATGAATTAATCATTAAACTTGATAGTTTTATCTGATTAATTTACAGAAAAAAGTGAAAGAGAAAATGGTTACTAGATTGAAGTAGCATTTGATGGTTCTGTCAACATGCAAAATTTAAAAAATCAAATTTTCACAAAAGTTGCTAGAGAAAAAAGACATAGATGGGTCTTAGGTCTTGGATTGGATCCAACACCATCTAGCTACTATGGACAGAACTCTCAGCAATTTACATTCTCAACAAATCAGTCTTCACGAAACATTTCCTTATTGGGAAAAGAGTTGCAAAATATTCAACAACGTTTCCAGCAAATGGAAGCAAAAAGGAACATGTGCATGCAAAATTAAAAAAAAAACGTGCTAGAATAGACCAAGAGTGTACAAAATTTCAACAATTACATGATCGATTCAGTACTCTTATAAATTTTGTGCAACAACAATTTTTAAGAAGTAATCTAGATGGTCCACCAATTTAAGTATTATATTTAGTAACTACTTATATTTTTTAATATAAAAAATAGCTTATTATTAAGTGTTAAAACTTGTATGATATTATTAAGTAGGTTCTTGAGCACGCTAATGACCAAGGTGAAAAAAACATTCATCAAATGGTAGTATTCTAAATTTATGTAGTTATCAATTTCATACATTGTAAATTTTTTGGTGAACATACTAAAATAATTTGAATGTTATTATACTAATTATTAAACTTTGTGTGATATGCATATTTGAACAAATTATGTATTTATTAAATTCAATTTCTGAATATAAATTCATTTTTATTTCTTTTAACATTTTTATTTAATGATAACAATAAATATTAAAAGAAATTTAAAAACAAAAGTAAATTTCTTAATTTTGTAACATTTGTGTTCAAAAACATCGTTAAATTCTAAATTTAGTGGCATTTATAACATAAAATGTCATTAAATTTAGCGACATTTATCTTATACAAATGCCGCTAATTTAGTGGCAATTGTCCTTTCAAACGCCATTAAATAGAGTGGCGTTTTATGATACAAACGTTATTATATTAACGATATTTTTTTTTATACAAACGTCACTAAATTAGTGATTTTTTTTATACAAACGTCACTAAATTAACGTTATTTTTTATAAAACGTCACTATTTTCCTTAACGCGTGTATAGTCGATGCTCTTAGTGACGTTTTTGGCAAGCGCTGCAAATTATTTAGTGACATTTATAAATGCCATTAAACATTAAAAAACATATCTCTAAAAATCTAAACCTCGCGGTGTGTTACCATTGTTTTTTATTTAAATCCTTATTCTGTTCTACCTACTTAATATCAGACAACACCACTAGTTATAGGACTTACCTTCGTTGGGGAGGGGATTACTTTCCTTTTTTTTTCAATAGTTGAAACTTATCAACTAAAAATATTGAAATGAAGTCATAAGTTTCTTGATTGGAAAGTGTCAACTATCATTTTCTAAGGGGGATGACCAATTTTTCAATCTTCATTAGTTTTGTCTTCCCATAACTCCGAAGAGAAACAGCTGATGGAGAATTTCCAACATGCACATTTCTGTGTCTCCTTTGAACAAAACTAGGTTGTGGAAGGAATTGGCACAAAAATTTTGAGAGTCCATTGTGTCCACAATACTGAGAGCAAATTCTAACTTCTTTTCTTGTATTCAAACCAATGAAAGGAAAGATCATTATATATGTTTCTTTCCATTAATAAGGTTAAAGATCAACAAAACTATTAATTTAAGAGAAAGACAACCCTGATATATATATATATATATATATATAATACAGTCAAAGATATTCTCAATTTTTACTTGAATCTAAGCTTGCATTTCCACACATTGGTTTACGTTTGAAACATTGAAGTTGTTGGTTTGTCTTTATGCAACAAATTAAATCCTTGATTTTCCTTGTCCTAGCACTTCTATTTTTCTGCTACCAAGGTTATCAGGGCTCAACATGTTGTGTTTTGCTTGTTGGAATTAGCACGTAGTTATAAGATGTGTTCTCTTCCGTCCACTCTTTAGATTTTGGCTTTTTTCCACTCAATACAATGTATTAATTATGACTAAATTTTGATTTAAAACAATGAATTTGTGATTTGCCAAAAATTAGCCGTAAATTGGCTTAATAAATAGTCTCTCAGAAGTAAATGGATCGGAAATTAGCAGTAATGTTTTTGTGAAATGCCGAACTAGTTGACAATGAATAATGGATCCAAAGAATCCTACCTAAGTTCTCGTCTTAAATAATAATAATAATTTAGCAGATAATGAAGGGTTATATATTGGTTTTAGTCTTTGTCGGGTTTCAAATCTTCTAGTATAACGTTATTGATTTTTATGTGTTTTCTTGGAATATATTCAGGAAAGGTAAAAAGAAAGGGGAATCAAATAAAAATTTTTGGATAAATAAAAATTAATATTAATAAATCTTAACCTTTCTTTTGAATAATGGCCCCAGGAAAAAATTCCATTAAAATAGTAACAAGAACTAAATCAAGTTGATTGTTGCATTTAGTAAATTTTTTAGGTACTAAATCAAGTAGAAACAGAGCGGGTCCAGGAATGGGTTGGAAATTGGTCAGTAGCTAAAAAACATTCTATCTTTTATGGGCTTTTTGTCATATTGATGGGCCCATGAAGCCCTTTTCCACACTAAATTTTGTCAAAAGTGTCTATTTTCAAACTGCTAAAATCCATAACAAAAGTTTTAAAGTCCAACTTTAATTGCATAAAAAAAAAAAAAAACTCAGAATCAAAAGTAAACCAGAAAGAAGAAAGTAGGAAAAAAAAGAAAAAAAGGAACAGGAAACGAACCAAAATAATTGACCTGTTTGTTCCATAAGGAAACTTTGATTATGTGACTATGTGCTAGTTAAAGCTGATACAGATATAACAGAACAAAGATGAAGTAAAATAAGACTGCAAAATATGACTCACATTTTTTTCATTCAAACGTATGAAAATTATGGACAAATGTCATAAATCTGAGACCAAAAGAGCATCCCAGATCATATCCATGTCCAAGGAAGGCATTCTACTTAACTGTACAGCATCCACATCTGATGATGGAATCTCCTGAGTTTTCTTTTTGTTATCCTTCACTTCCGATCCTCCCTTGCTATCCACCTCAAATTGCCACTCTCTTTTTGCTTTGTTTTGGTTTAAATCCTTGACTTTTACTGGTGTTGGAGATGGATCATTGGATTTCTTGTTAGCAGAAATGCCCTGTGATATTGCTCGCAACTTGGCTTCAAGAAGTGCAGCTGTATTTCCATTCAAAGAATTGGCCTTGAGTTGATGTTTAAGATCTGGAAAATTCAAATGTGCATATTCTCCACGCAACATGTATGCGGCTGTATCATATGCGATAGCAGCTTCTTCGGCGGTGTCAAAAGTCCCTAACCAAACCCTTGTTCTTTTTCTTGGTAGCCTTATCTCTGCAACCCATTTTCCCCAATGCCTTTGCCTCACCCCTCTGAACAGCTTTCCGGGTGATGAAGCTGATGATAAAGAACCCTTTTGGTGCTGATCCTGCAATCTTCGTCCAGTGTACTTCATAGGCTGAGTCTTGGTAGTGCTAAGCCAATAGTCACTGAAACCTTTGGATGGATAATTTGTCAAACTCTGGTTGATTCTAAGCCATTCATCGCCCGGTTGAGACTGAATCTGGCCAACTTGAGGCATTTCGAATAGAGGGTTCAAACTCTTTTTGCCAATGGAATCAATGACTCGTGTGGATGGATCTAACATGGTGGGTTCCTGCAAAAACAAAGCTAAATTTGGGAATTTTGATGTGGCTGATATGGAAGATGGAGAAGGTGGTTCGGAAACTTGAACTTGGTTTAGTTTTGGAAAGGATTCTAAAAAGCTCACTGGAATAAACCCATCTTTGACATCAGAAACACAACCTCCAGGCATGTGGACAGAACTAAACACTGAAGCAAATAAACTGGAGTTGTGTTCATTCCCAACATCCTGTCTGATAAATCCAGGAATGTTTTTCAACAAATTGGCTCCAGGACCCTCCTCTGCAGAATAACTAGAATTGGAACTTGAAAGCAGACTGTCAGGTGATGATGATGATGATGACTTACTTGCACTGCCACTACCATTTTCATGAAAAGCAGTCCCAGTTAAAGCACCCCAAATGATTGGATCAATTTTTGGACCTGTTGCCATGCCATAAATATAAGATGGCCACTCCTTGTTCATGAAGGTTTCCGTTTTAGGAAATTGATCTTCCACACTCATAATTTTGGCCGTAAACAAAACAAAAATGAGAAGAAGATAGAAATGGTGCAAATGAAAGTACTATGCTTTATATATCAGGCCTTAATCTGAAGGTTTCTGTTAAAGCGTTTGAAAAATAATATTTATGGGAAACTACTTTATGTTTATAAAAGCAAAAAGTTATCGTCCGAGACCTGCCTTGTTCAATAGAATAAGGTCACCACCTTCCAATTTCCCTACGCAGTCGTGCTACCCATTCTGGATGTTTATAGATAAACCAATCAAAAACTCACAGATCAGGTTTTCTTTGCTTACCTGTCATCTGGGATCTTAGGATGATGTACATTTATTAAGCACCGATATGGACACGCAATACCGATATAATATGATATGAATATAATGATATATATATAATGATTTTTGAAAAATAAAACAGGAATACGACAAGACATAACAATAAAAAATATTTTATATACAATTGTTAAGGTATTAAAATCTTTTTTGGACTCTTTTTCTATTAAGTCATCCTCTCTTTTTATTCTTTTTTATCTTTTACTTCTTTCTCTTCATTATCTTCTTTTCTTTTCTTTTTTTTTTATTTCTAGCATCTAACTTCCTTATATTTGAGTTTTACTCATTATTGAATCCAAATTTAAGAAAAAAAAAAAATCTTTTATGATGTGTTCAATTGAGTCTGAGTACGTCTTGATCATGTTTTCATTATATCCGATTTTTTATTTTAAATTTTTTGACATATCTCAATGTATCCAATACATGTTGAAAGCACATTCAATCGTGTCAAAGGGACACAGGGATCGCCTCTTACATGGATACACCATGTTCAATAGCGTGTCCATGCTTTATAAGAGGTGTATATTCTCCCATGACAATGACTATAAAAACCTCATAAACCTTCATTTACATGGCATAATTATTTAAAGGTAATTTTAATCAATGCCCATGTTGTTTTCTCAAACACTCACATGACTTATTCTTTCCCTTTTACTTTCTAAGTATAATGTATAATGAAGGTTAGACCTTACAGTGAGACAATAATTAATTGTTGTTATAGTTGTTAAGGGAGGAAAAAAAAATTGCAAGAGTAACATCTTACATGTAAATATGATATGCAAATTGCATAGTTTCAGTCTACTTTGATGGAATGAGTTTGGTCAACCAAATTCATAGCTGGTTCTGAGGTTCTTGTATTACAGGTAATCAGGAGAGAAATCCATAGTTGTGTCCTTACGAGAGCTTCATTATCAATATTATCAACATAATAATTTACTTTAAATTGAACAAGACTTGCTCCAAAAAATTAAATTAATTATTTTTTTCAAAGAGGAAATCATGGCTGCATTTTATAGATCCAACCCATTAGTTTAAATAAAAGGCAAACTCATGAAACAAAAATATATCTTATTTGACTTTTCTTGAAGCATCATCACCTCTCTTTTGAGATGAGTTTGGCGCCACTTAAACACCTCATCAACTCCAAGAATGAGCGTGCAAAAGGAAGGGCAAAATCTATGGGGCCATCCCCCAAATCCTCCAAATTTGGGACCCTAATGATTAGAAACCAAACCCCATCTGGTGGTGAATTTTGCAGTCATCTTTAAACTACCTGTTTGAGTCAATGCCACTTGGAGAAACCAGTTCCAGGGAGGAGAAAAAAAACCATCATGAAAGAGAGAGATTCCTAAGAGTTACTTTAATTCACTTTTTTGGCAGATTTTGACTGAAATATATTCTGACCAAGTTCTCTCACTAGTGCAGTTGTTTTGTCAATATTATTCAATAGTGCCAGCACATGCTCTTGGCCTAAGCCAAACATATGTTATTCCCGTCTAATAGTTGATTAGTAAGAAGCAGCATGAACCCATGTTTCTGAATGTTGCTTTGGCATCTTCTCTTTTTTTTTTTGTTTTCCCTTATCAAGCCATGGTTTGGTTCCTTTATTCCTTCCACTGTTTCTGGTCTCTAAAACAAGAAAGCAAAATACAATAAAAACTCATCTCTGCACACATCACTATTGCTTTAGTTTTGAAAAAAAAAAAAAAAGATGTGCTTATGACATTCCTTGTTTCTAACCTGATCTCTAGTCTCTTCCAAAACCCTGTTCCTGTTTCCCAACCTGGAAGATAAGAATCTTGAGGGCTGGTAGTTAACAAAATACTTCGGCTTGTTGTGTAGTTTGTTCTTCACTTAACTATCTAATTCAACTGATGGCTCAGTATTTGTCCCCCTCCTTATAGTTGTGTCTTTGAATATTGTCAATTAATTTTTTTATGAAAAAACCTTTAAGGTGAAGGGAGGCCTTTTCATTTCTCGTTTCAATATCAGAACAGACCGTAAGTTTTAAATAAAATTTACATTGAATTTATAGATTATTCACCAAGAAGAACTGCAGACAGTAGAACTCGAACTCAAACTGTACAAGCGAAGTATTCAAACTTTACCAATTCAATCACCCCTCGATGACAATATTGTCAATTAATATAATTAGTGAATCAAGTAGCTAATCTTTAGGGTTTTTTTTCTTTTTTTTTTGGGGGGGGGGGGGAACACAAGAAAAAAGAAGCCATTTATAGTGGAATACCAGGGATGATCAAAGCTAAAACAAAGACTCAAAAGAGTAAACTGTTTGTTTCGATGTTCCTTTTCCTATCTACCTAGATGGTTTGATCTCATCAACTGGTCTGGATCTTATGTTTGTGGATGATACATGTTGTTAATCCTAAGAGTCCATTGTCACGAAACATATAAATAAGTATATAACTTTCTGCGATTGCCAATTCAAACATCAAATTCTTTTGATTCAAAGTTTAATAGTTAAGGTACTTAACTGACCCCAAAAAGAATAGAATAATTCAACTGCACATACAACTAGGCGTGAATTGCATAAGCAACAGATCTAGTCCTTTTTCATTTTTATAATAATTTGGCGAATATTGTAAACATGTGGTCCGATGTATGAAAGAGAGAGAGTTTGTGTATTCATACATGCATTTTTTATGTCAAATAAGTATAAAACATGAAAATTATCGTATCAAATTCATGTCGACACATTAAACATAAATTTTTTATTTTTATCATATTTATATAAATTTTTATTAAAATTTTAAATCATATTATTTTTATATAATTTTTATATTATTTTCGTATTGTGTGATCGTTTAATATTTAAAATTGTCATATATTTTTTTCCTTTGTTAACAGTTTCTGGGATGTAGGCTTCTCAACCTTCACAAGTAACCTCAAACCTTTTGGTTAAAGTTTTATGACATTACCAATAAACTATTTGCTCTCTAGGGGGCTTAAGCTGACCATAAAAATACAAAGTAACATCTCCATTGTCAGATGCAACTACTCTTAGCATTTCGACAGAATAACTTCCCCTTTATGCTTTTATAATTTTTTTGTTAACTGTTTTTTTCTTCCCGGAATTCTTCCTCTGAAATCTTTTTCCCTTCTAATCCTGTTAAAACAGCTCACAGATGAATGATTTTATTTCCTAACATGATCCACACAAAGTTTGATAGAAAAAAACACAATAATTAGGACAAAAAGGTGAAAACAGCAGCATCAAAATGGAATCCTTCCTGTGCAAATGATTCTCTCTTTTGTTTTACACACCACTTTCTTATCTTTTTTTCTGATCTCTACCTCAAGTAACACCTTGTCTAGGTAGGATAGAGAATATATCTTTATGTAAGAATCTTTCCCATCTGACTATCTACAAAAACCTATGACCATCCCCATCATCACTCATTATCACCGTTGATAGTACCTTGCATTACTTCTGCAATGACCTTTAGTACTAAAGATTAAGCTGTCAAGATAGTGACATAAAATTTTCATTAATTCATGATCTTTAATTTTTTATGCCGAATTATTGCATTTGATCTCAATCTTTTAAAATCGTTCCATTTTGACTCAAAACGCATGAAAACTTTGTTTTTTTTAACATGGACAACTCATCTTAACATTGTTTGCAAAATGCCTTCAACATAGGTCATTTAACATGCCTTTATTCATCACTTTCTTTTTTCCATTGTCCAATATACATCAAAATGTTTAAGTTATCAAGATAGTGACTCAAAACGGGTAAATTATTCATAATCTTTATTTTTTTTATGCCGAATTATTATAGTACTTGGTCTCGATCTTTTAAAATGGTTTCATTTTGACTCAGGACACACATGGACAACTCATTTAACATTGTGAGCAAAAAGCCTTCAACATAGGTCATTTAACATGCCTATATTGATGATTTTCTTTTTCCAGTGTCCAATATATATCAAAATGTTTAAGCTATCAAGATAGTGACTTGAAACGGGTAAATTTTATTCATAATCTTTAATTTTTTTTATGCCGATCATTACACTTGGTCTTAGATCCTTTTAAATGGTTTCATTTTGACTCAAGACACATGAAAAACAATTTTTTTTCTTTTACATGGGCAAATCATTTTAACATTGTGAGCAAAAAGCTTTCAACATAGGTCATTTAACATGCCTATATTCATCACTTTTTTTTTTTTGGCCAATGTCCAATATACATCAAAATATGACATACATATACGTGTACAGACAGCAAACCCTAGAAGAAGATACAATAGAAAACCTTATCTTGTCCTTTGGAAAAGCAAGTTGTACTTACCTAGACATCTCTCTCGTCATCATCATTATAACATCCACCAAACCCAAGCAACTTGAAAATAAAATATTAGGATTGAATATGCACTTTTTGTGCTTATTTTTAGCAATCCATGATTATCAATGTCGTTAACACTTATCATCATCATTTTGATTAGTTTAATTATGGCTGTAATAGACAAAGGTTAATGGGGTTTTTGAGGCGCCGACAATGGAATCTAAGAGGCTAATTACATGCATGAAAGGAACTGGTTAAACAGAGCCAGCAGCATGCCAATTAGGCCCGTCAACGTGTCAAAATTTTTGCGGTCGCCGATTGCTCACCACAAATTAATTTTATTCTACCGATTTGAGATTAGTTTTGGTTTTATTAATTTTTTTTATTTTATCAGGTTATAATCTGGTTAGATTTCGAATCATGTAATTGACTCAGATTTTTCGAATCAGATTGTCATCTCAAGTAATTACAATGTAAAAAAATAATGAATAAAGCAATAACAAATCAAAACATTAATTTAACTAATATTTGAAAAAAAATCAGATATTTGGATTAAATTTACACATGATTAACTTAGATATAAAATTTAATACAAAGTGCTCATTTATGGAACAAAAAACCTCGAAATTTCT